AATCGAAGCTAATGCGTAATTCTAGTATAACTTTTTAGGACCCACTAACATTCCGCTTGCGACCCATAGTTTGGGAAACGCTGACTTAGAGTATGAAACTCTTGAGCTACTCTCTGCAGAATATTTTTTGTGCTTCGTTATTCTGTAGTGTTATTTATTCCATATGTCTCTAAGTTGCTTCTTCATTCATACTTTAAACAAAGTAGTTTATATTATTACTTGCTGACCTTATAACATATTTAGAAACTAACTGAAATTAAACAGGCAAGAACATAGAAAAGATGCTATCAAACACTTACAAAACTATAAAAACAACTCGAATTTTAAATTACGTAATAATATAACTTTCCTTTTCAAAACAAGGTACTGTCCGGTAGCGGCATCTTTTATTTATAAATATTACTGCTTTCATAGTGATGGCAATTATAAAGTGATGGCCTCCACTACTGACAACAGCAACATATTGTATATAAGTCTTCCCCTATCAAGTCTGTCCATTGGGTAGACTTTCTATAGCAAGGTCACTCTCAAATGCTATGGTGAATTAAAACGGGCAGAAAGAGATCAGACACACTAGTGGCTGGCTCAGCAGTATGTCTGCAGACTTAAAACGTGGTGGACAGAGTACAGATATCCCATTGTGTAGGTTTGTGCTTAATTTCAAACAAACAAAAGCAAATATAGTTGTAAGTTTTAAATAAGTCATATTTATGGGTATAATTATTAAAAACAAATGAGGCGTGTCAATTTTCATTACCATTTCATTAGCCTGGTGTTGTCTAATCTGCATACCGTAATATATGTCCAATATTTGCTGTAAGTACCTGTCCATCTTACTCTACCAGCCCCCCAGTAGCACAGCGGTATTTCTGCGGACTTACAACGCTAGAATCCGGGTTTCAATACCCGTGGTGGGCAGAGCACAGATAGCACTTGTGTAGCTTTGTGCATAATTAAAAAAAAACAACAAACGAAACAAACTTACTCTACCATATACATACTTAAATTTTCAAGACCAGTACATTTTCCCATCATGGATACTTCAATACAGTGCAGAATGGTACTTTTCAACTTGTATAAATTTACAATTGTACAATAATTTTAGTCTACCAGCATTTATAATAACAAATCAAAATATTAAACTATAAAACCAATTTTCTCTCAATACCTAATGTCTTTTCTTCAGGGCAAAGGGCCATGTGGGTACTGTATGCCACAGACTAATTTCAGAAACTTGACAAACATGATTAAGTAGAGAAATACCAAGTACATAAGCCTGACATACCGCTGTGCCACTGAGGGGGGGGGGCACTATATATAATTTCATAACTTCTCATATTTTTCTGAAGTCAACAAATAATATTTGTGTAATATATTAAACTGGGTTTCACCAAGATGATAAATTGCCAGTATCATGAGGAATTCTTTATTTTTTCTGTACAATAAGAGACTAGTTACGTACATGAGTTAAGCTGCAATAAAAACTGAATGGTTGTACTAAAGTTTTTCCCACACTTCAAGCCTTTAATTATAATACCTTGCAGAGACCATTTGGATGGAAGGGGCTCAGATCCAAAAAGATCTAGTAGTAGGTGAAGGGCGGGGAAGAGGGCATGACCATTCGGTCATAACTCAGTAAAAAGAGGAAAAGGGAGTCTTTAAAAGAGTAACATTGCTAAAGCCCCCTCAGTGGCACAGCGGTATGTCTGTAGACTTACAACGCTAGAAATCGGATACTTGTGGTGGGCATAGCACAGCTAGCCCATTGTGTAGCTTTGTGCTTAACTTCAAACAAAACATTGCTAAAGTTATTGTCTTTAGACCTACTGCAGTATATGTAATGCATCATTGATGAAATAGGTGTAATGATTTGTATTTCTTCATTTTGTAAATATATATATATATATATTTCAAGCATTTGTATCAGTTTTTGTCACAAATTCTCAAATAAATCCGAATGAATTTTATTATATTTATATCATAATTTTTCTTAATTATTTCCATCCACTTCATTTAAGAACGTTGACTGTTTGGAGGCGTAGATATATAAATAATATTCTTCTCCGACTCCCTCCCAGAAAAGAACATGACGCGCCACCTCTCGTTCATTTGCAACAATACTTGAGACGTATATGTTTTCTGTGGCACATAATAAACACCGTGGAAACAGAACATATTTTAATCTTAAGATTTCCCTATGGGCTAAAATTCAATATATTCTTCATATAACAGGTCAGATATATGTGTTGTTTGAACTATTTTTGCATTAATTTTTAAGATAAAATCAGGTTTAGATCATCTTGGCTTGACAAATTTATTAAAATCAAATAACAAAATTATCCAAACGTCTAGCTTACATGGAAAACTGCCATAAGTTGTGAGATGAAATCGTTTGTCATTGTCGTACGCGCGTGCCGAAATATCATGTGACTTCCAATTTAGTGTTATTTATATCTATGCCCCACACTTGTTATCTTGCCTAGGGCAACGCAGTTGGTAAAGCCGACACCTGAGTGAAGATAACCTGTATCTTGGAGAACACTACTAAAATTACAGTGCTTTGCAAAAGTATTCACCCCATTGCAAAGTGTTCACATTTTGTTGCCGTCTGAGCTTGCAATCATGAAACATTAAATGGGACTTTGTGTTTATGATCTACACAATCTACTCCAAACTAAGAAAACTAAAAACCTTATTATGTAAGTACGTTAGATTTTCAACAAAAATTAGGATATTCTCAATTGCACAATTATTCAACCCCTTTGCTATGGCAACCCTAAATCAGTTCAGGTGCAAAAGATTAGTTTGAAAGATTACAAAATTAGTGTAATGGTCTCTGTTTTCAAGTCACAACTCACGTAGTTATACAAAAAACGAACTATGAAGACCAAGGAGTTTTCGAAACAAGTCAAGGATAAAGTGGTAGAGAAGCACAGATCAGGAGAAGGTTACAATAAAATTTCAAAGTCACTAATTATCCCTTTGAGTACAGTGAAGTCCATCATTAAGAAGTGTAATGTTCTTCATACCACCCAGTCACTACCCAGATCAGGCCACCCTTCTAAGCTAAGTAGCAGGGCAATTAAGGAAACTGGTTAGGGATGCCACTGTGAAGCCAACAGTGACTTTGAAAGATTTGCAAAGTTTCATGTCTTAGATGGAAGTCAGTGTTCATACATCGACAGTATCCCGGTCCCTAGAAAAAGCTGGCCTGTATGGGCGAGTGGCAAGAAAGAAGCCATTACTAAAAAAATCATCTTAAATCTCGTATGGAGTTTGCGACAAAGCATGTAAATGATGCTGCAAACATGTGGCAGAAGGTTTTGTGGTTAGATGAGACAAAAATTGAGCTTTTTGGTCTAAATTCAAAGCGTTACATCTGATGCAAGTCCAATACAGCACACCAACCAGTCAACACCATCCCAGCTGTGAAGCATGGTGATGGCAGAGTCATGTTATGGGGATGCTTCTCGTTAGCAGGGACTGGGAAGCTTGCCAGGATTGAGGGGAAGATGGATGGTACAAAGTACAGATGAATCCTAGAGGAAAAGCTGCTTGAGTTAGCCAAGAATCTAAAACTGGGTCAAAAATTAACATTTCATCATGACAATGACCCGAAGCACAAGACCAAATTCACACTGGAGGGATTTCAAAAGAGAAATTGAATGTCCAGCAGTGGCCCAGTCAAAGTCCGACTTGAATCCAGTAAAAAAAATTATGACGCGACTTGAAGATTGCAGTCCATCAACAATCCCCAACAAACTTGTTAGAATTGGAGCAAATTTACCAGAAAGAATGAGCAAAATTTACACCATTCCATTGTGTAAAGCTGGTAGAGACCTATCCAAAAAGACTCGTGGTATTATTTATATCTATGCCCCTAGGAACGTCGAGAGCCAGAACGGGCCTCAGGGCAAACATCCTCGCTGGGTCCCCTTTCTCTCTCTCTCTTTTAACATTTTCAAGAATTTATTAAAAAGAAGATCCTAAATTAGGACAGCAACGAGCTCATAAACCAGACAAAATCATGGCAGCAGCCGTTTTATCTCACAGTATAAGCATAGAAACGTTAATAAAGTAACAACAAATATCTATTAAATCTATAAAGTAACAAATACATATTGTTGCGTCAGCGAGGTCACGTGACTAGTATCACGCCACCTCTTTCTAAAAATATTCTGTTCCTTCATGAATGCCCTAGCATTTACTAGATATGTGTTAGTCTCGTATATATAAGACGGTCACAACGTGACGGGGCAATGAGTAATTGAACTGCAGTCAGAGAGTGTGTAATTGAACAGAGTATTGTTGAAGTCGAGCTCGTGAGACGTTCGTTGAGAATTATAGCGTTTGTTATAGCGCGACTGTTGAAATTAAGTGTATCGCAAAGTTATATTCAGAAAGAATAAACCAGTTTTATTTAAGAAAGGACTTGTGTCGCTAAAGTTTCGTCGGAACGAATTTACGGAAAATTAACTAACGAACGGAGACGTAACAATATTAATTATTTCTGAAATTATTATTTCAGTCGTTCTTAATGTACCAAGCGTCTATGTGCAAAGAAAACCCAAAAACTATGGTTTTTATAATTAAATGAAGATATAGCCGAAAGATGCTTTGCGGACTTTACGGCATAACCAGGTTTTATTCGCAGTTGCCCCCTTGTCCCCCCCCCCCCTGCGGCGGGCCTGTATGCCCCACACTTGTTATCTTGCCTAGGGCCACGCAGTGGGTAAAGCCGACACCGGAATGAAGATAATCTGTATAGGCTTCAACATCAATATTTCACCTCTTTACAATCTTATCACACACACACATACATACATTAGAAAAGAAAAAAAAGGTAAAAATTTAAAACAAGAGTAAGAAAACTACAAATTTCATATTCCACGTTAATTCGTGTTTATGCTGTTGATTTAAAAAGCCTGGGGCATCATTAATCTTTTTTTTTTTTTTTCAGTGACTGGGAATTCTCATGTGAATGAGGTTGGTAGTCACACTCATTTAAAAACATAATTTTCTTGATTATGGAAAACAAATACGATATCAATAATTTTTTAAAATTTACTTTCAAACATGATGTAAACTTATTATAAAGTTTATCAAAAATGTAAACATTCCGTGTAGAAATAAAAAATATATAACTTACTTAGTAACTCAATAGAGGACGCAGTAATCTATTAGTATGCGTCATATTGTTACAGAATATTACGCGATATAATGCTGGTGAAAAAATAATAAAATAGTTCGTGCGGATGCAAGTGATTGAGTGCTTAGTTAGTTAAGTTTAAGATTAAGAATTTAGGTTGTATGTTATGATTTTTTACAGTGAAGGTCAAATTGTACGGAAAGTATTTTGGAGTATCATATGCAGTAGTCTTTACGATACAGTTTCCGAAAGGTCATTTTCATAATTAATTGATCATTTAGAGTTAATGAACAAAGAGTCTAAAGTCTTCAATAATCCATTATTTTAACTTAAGTTTCTTCTGTCTTTACTGTGAAATTTAGGCTTAGGTATCGAACGTGCAAGAAGCTGTAAGTGTAAAACTAAAAGTTAAGCCTAATGCCAGTATCGTGAATGTCTGATCTTAGCTGATATTGTTATAATTATTTATAGGCTTGGTTTTAAAGATTCAACTGACAGAGTAATTATTATTATTTTTCGCGATCACAAAACTGGTAGTATTCGTAATGTGTTGCTACTAGTGTAGTAGCATAACATTAACACCCATTGTTTCTGAATTCTGTCATTTATTATGATTTAAATTACATTGATCATAAAAATTAGCATTACGCGTAAAATCTGAAGCACGATAACAAGTACATTATAAATAAATGATTACTCTAGATTTTTTTTTTATTGGGGAAAGAAAGTGCCTTTCCAAACAATACAACATAACGGTAACACAAAATACTTGTATTATAAATTGTAAACCTTCTTAAATGTATATTTTGCCTAGTAATATCAGTTTCAACTGGTTATTTTTGAAGGTATCCCTTAAAATTAGTTTGAAAATGGCAATGTGACAATTATTTTCCTGTTGAACTGAAGTGAAACAATGTGGATGTTAGGTGGGGCAATTCTTAATTCTAAAATGCATATTATCTGAAACTTGTCTTATTTTCTTGGTCAATATTAATTTGAATATGACATTAAGATGTGTGGAAGGAAGTAGTTAGGTAGTGCAGCAGCAAACACATTTCCTATATGCTATGGTTTCTGTAGCATGTTAATCTCTTAATAGCTGTGAAGGTCCATGCACATGTCCTCATACCATTTATGAACTAATGTTTACCAAGAGAATAATGTTTTCAAGTAATGTGTATGTTTTGATAACTTTAATGTAAAAACCACTTTAGGCTAATTTCTATTTGCAGCAGTAAACAGAGAAGAAATTCTCGTTAAAAATAAATAAAATGAATCTCTAGGGTAAAGTATTTATTTTAAAATGTTTATAAGTAAGTTTTGCATTGTTACTTTGGGGGAGGAAAAAAAAGAAATATTGGATTTTTTTCCTTATCAAAAATTAGTCTAACAATTAGAATAAGGTTTTACTATTATTATTTTAGCATTCACCTACCTTATAGTCTAGGTACTTTGCATTCAGTGTTTGGTCACTTCTCAAAATACCCATTGCTGTTGGAATGAGGAGCTGTCTTATTTTCATGATATTTATTATTTTTGTTGTCTTTTAGATGAATTATAATCTGGGTAGAAAAGTACACTAAAAAAATTAAAGATCTATAGGTGAGTCTTTGGATCATAGTGAAAAATAAACTTGATGTTGGAATACTAAAAGCAGTTGTCATATGATGAAAATACATCATTTTATATCTCTGATGTACTTGAACAGCCCTTATTTCTTCCAATGTATTAAATTTATGATTTCTCATTAGTTATATGTTATAACCACTGAAGGTGTATTAATCTTGGGAGGATTGCAATGTCATAGGTTTGGTGTAAGAAGAGAAAATTAGACATTGAATTCAAGTGAAATTCTTCATCTTTAAAAATTTACCTCATCACAAAATCCAACAAGTTAATTCACAAGTTGTTATATTACATAATTTGGGAAGGTAGCACCATTGCTACTGTGGATATTGATAGCTAATAACCAGCATACAGCTTTGCTAGTGATGTATCCCTAGGAATTGTACAACTTCAGTTTAATGTACTAAATTCCTCTGGTGTAGAATAATTTAAACAGATATCTTAACTATTCATATGTTATTAATTAAATTAAAAATATAATTTTTCAGAATTAAACAAATAATCTCAAATATATTGGGGTTTTTTAATGGATAAAAACTTTCAGTATAATTAATATATAAATTTTATAATACTCATTTACATATTACATCGAAGAATCTGGTAAGACACGTGTCTTGTTGGTCAGGCAGTGTGCGTGTAACTAGAAGATGGCAATGTAGCCTTGGCCTAACCATGAACCTTGGTTCTCAGGTTTAGACTGTGTATAATGAGGTGAGTACAAATCAACAAGATTCTAGCATTAATAAATGGCTAAATATTATTAAATTGGGAAAGCAAAAAATATATTACAAGGTCTTGTTAAAATGTGTTTAAATTTAACACAGGGTTTTTTTACCAATTTTATAAAACTTTATTTCTAGTATTTTTTAATAAACTGAGCCACTTGTGAAAGTAAAAAAAAAACATTTGAGTGATTCTTATGTATAGCTGTCATTTTTGATGTAGTATGCATTATATCTTTTAAGTTTTGATACTGGGGGTTGTTAATTTTATCGTACTGTTTTAGTTTCTACTTTTAAAATGTTTCGCATTTTAAGCTATTGAGGTAAGATACAAGAGTATCATTTTTATAATTGAAAATATACAATATTTTGTTTTACAGAAAGCTAATACACTTATATTAAAACACATTCTATTCTGATTATTTTTTTCAAATCACTAGTTATCTTTTAATTGATCACAAATCTAAAAGTACTACAATTTCACACATGTATCTCTAATAATAAAAAAAATGCTGACATGCTACATGATGATGCTAAATAGTCTTACACTATTGAATATTCTATGTCCTGCCTGCAGTATTGTTTGAAGATCTCCCACTATGTTTGCAATTGGCCACAACCAGTTTAATGAAACTTGGCAAGGGAAATAACCAAAACTTGTGTGAGACAAAGGATTCTCCCACCAAGGATGTCTCAATTCTGTTGCAACCTGCCACTAACTCATTCAAGAATCACTACACAACAAAATCACCTCATTCCATTCTTGCTAGGTTAATAACATCCCATTAATTATTCTGGTAATAGAAAAGAGGCAGTGAAACACTAAAATGACTTAAAATCATAGTAGTTGCATGGGGGACTAAGAAGTGGTACGGTGATGCATTTATCTTGTTGTCTACCTTTATATGACAAATTGAAAGATAGTCACGTGTATGAGTAAGCTCTCACTCATACCTAAGTTTTCCTTTTTTTAATTTATGGCAATGGATTGCACGCTGAATTATTATTTTTTACTCTAAATAGACTGCACATTTAAATTAATTTTATTCTGCGAATAATGAATACTGTATGTGGTCAGTCAACATCATTTACAGTAATTAATTATAGAGATATAAGTTTACCAAAGCATTACTGTTGTTATTTTTTGTGAAAGGATATTTAGAAATTATGATGAAAAAAAACATTATTACACTTTTGTTTTTCCTCATTACTTTATACATGTATGTATGTGCAAAACGTGCAAGATGTATAAGGATACCAAGTGAATTGTTGGTCCAGGTAAGTTATTATATCCAATATACTGAATTTTAAAATAAAAGTAAAACAATAAAAGCCAACCATTATTATTCAAGTATAACTCCCTTAAATTTAGTGCATCCACCACATCAGAAGGCAACCCATTCCAAAGGCCAACCATCCTGTTAGGAAAATCAAACCGTCTTAGCTGAAAATAGCTCCTGCTCTGTCAAAATTCATATTTGTCCCCTAGATAATGCATCAACACTATCAATTCCTTTAACAGTTTTAAACACCTAAATCAGATCTCCTATAACTCATCTTTCTTCAAAAGAAAACACTTTCTGAGATCTTGTTCTTGTATGATAAACTATCCCTCTCAGGTATCGTACTAGTAGCTCTCCTATGAATGCTCTCCAACAATTCATTGTCCTTTCTAAGATGCGACACCCAGATGTGGAAAAAACCAGAGGCATATACAATGAAATTATTAACTCTTTAGACTTGTATTCAATAACTGTAATAACTCTAACTCTTCTTTCTTCAGGATAAAACTGTTTCAGAGATCTTAACCTGACCTTGTATGACAAACTATCCTTCTCAGGTATCATACTAGTGGCCCTCCTCTGAACTCTCTCCAACAATTCATTGTCCTTTTTAAGGTGAGACACCCTAATGTGGCAAAAACTGGAGACCTATACAATTAAATTATTACCTCTTTTGACATTTATTCAATATTTCTGTAAAATTCTATTTACCCTGCCATAGCAACAGCACACTACTTGAATGGCTTAAGAGAGTAAACTAAAACACTAAGATCCTTTTCTTTATTGGCAATGTTAAGGTTATCCCCTTCAAAATTATGTGTATTTCAAATTATGATATCCTACAGGCATAACCTTGTATTTATTATAATTAAGTCATCTGCCATTTATTTGTACACTTCGCCAATTAATCAAAATTAATTTGTAAAGCATTCTCCTCACAGCAAGCAACACCCAAAACCTTGATATCATTAGATGATTTAAGTACTTTATTCACCAGTCCTTCATCTGTTATTAATGTAAATCAAAAAGATCTCTGAATTACCCAACTCGTGACGTTAATCCAGTTTTACTGAACTCAATTTATAAAAACTTTCTGCTTTTTCCCATCAAGTCAATTTTCTATATAATGGGCCAACCTATCCACTACATCTGTAGAAATAATTTTTTTAACAAGTAATTTTTGTGGCACTTAGTTGAATCAAAGAATGGAAAAAGATTATTAAGGAAAAATTACTCCTCCAGTGAATCCATGTTGTCTATCCAACATGGTTTTAAAGCATTTTTTATCAGACTTTCAAAACTTTTCCCACTGCTGATATAAAACTAATGGGTCTCCAATTACAGTGACATCATCTCCCTTGAAAATAGGAGTAATATTAGCCAACTTGCAATCTTCTGGCACCTGCCCACTATGAAAGGACTTGCCAAAAATAGTAGCAAGTGACTTGCATATCCATTTCTTAATGTACTTGAAAACTCATGGGAAGATATTATGTGACCCAAGAGATTTATTATTCTTCAAACTTCTCAATTTTATCTTATGCTCAAAATCAATGTAATAATGGAACTTTGTAGAATAGATGGCAACTACCTATTGTAGAGATACAAGTGTAGAGGATGAAGTTTTGAAAGTCTTTCGTCTTCAAGCGGTAGACTTTCAAAATGTCATCCTCTACACTTGTGTCTCTACAACAAGTACTTTCCATCCATTCTACAAAGCTTCATCATGAATACTCTGCCTAAACAGTCTTATCAAACAATGTGATATTGTTTTCATTTAGCAACAGTTTAGGATAAGGAATATTGCTTAATCTTCATTTGTCAAAATTGAATTAAAAGCAGAATTTAATAACCCAGCCATTTCATAATCATCAGGTATGATTCTTCCTGTATCATTTCTCACAGGTTCTACTCCCATCCTAATATTTTCTTTACCCTTAAGGTAAAGAAATCCTTACTATTAATATTTATAATTACATTAAACCTTTTTTCATGTACACTTTTCAATTTTTTGTTTGACCAACTCTTGATATTCTTTAATCTTCTAAATCTCCTTGTTGAAAAATTTTTCTGCATTTGAACAGCATCTCCAATTCAGTTCGCAACACAATATTCTTGTTGCATCCCTTCAAAATTTCCTTTTTTTTTTAAAGATTATAACCAAAATCTCATTATTCCTTATTTTCATATACAGCAAGAACATCAGTTGAATCAAAACACCTAAAACACTGTAGTGGATTTGAAGTTCAGGCACTTAATCAGGTAAGTAATAAAAATGGATCCAGAACATATTTTTAGGTTTATATTTGATATTTTAATATATTGTTCTTGGTCTAATTTATTGTGCAATTTTCCACTATAATTTTTGCCTGTTCATGAGAATGTACTATGTGTGTAAGAGCTTTCACTGTAAGCAAATTGTATGTTTAATAATGTGCCCTTATTTAACTATAAAATATTTATTTCATCTTCCTGTACTATTGCAAGAAACTAATCAAGTACATTCTTCTGCTACAATTATCATAACCTTCATACTAAATTCCATTTAGATACAACTCGTGAAATAAATTTAGTATTATCATAATACCTATAATGTGCTGATAGTAATGGAGTGTTCATGTGTTCTAGCATAGATTTACAGAAGATTTTCAATGGTAAATATCAAGTGATTTTTGAGAGTGCTAGGTGTGGGGTAGGCATATGTTTAAAGTTAAGATACCACATCTAACTGTTCTGCTGTTGGCAATATAGCTTTCCATACATGATGTAATTTGTTTAAGAAGTCGTGCTATTCTAGAGAAAATTATTTCCTCATTTGTGATTTAATATTTTAATGCAGAGCTATTTAACAAAATTTTAGCCCCCCAGTGGAACAGTGGTATGTCTGCAGACTTACAATGCTAGAAACCTGGTTTCGATACTTGTGGTGGGTGTAGAGTACAGGTAGCCCATTGTGTAGCTTTGTGCTAAATTACAAACAAACAGAACAACATATGAATTAATAATGTCATATATACAAAAGAAGATACTTACAAATAATGTAAATTAATCACAAACAAAAACAAATTCGTATGCAAACTTTGGGTTAGTACATGTACAATTGCCTAGAGCTGTTTGAATATTACAGTTGTATACACACATAACATTTGCAGTTATTACATGTACAAACAGGACCTTACTGCATCTTGGAGAACACTACTAAAATTACAGTTCATTGCAAAAGTATTCACCCCATTGCAAAATGTCCACATTTTGTTGCTGTCTGAGCTTGCAATCATGAAACATTAAATCGGACTTTATGTTTACATAATCTACTCCAAAATTAAGAAAACTAGAAACCTTATTATGTAAGTACGTTAGATTTTAAAAGAAAATTGGGATATTCTAAATTGCACAATTATTCAACCCCTTTGCTATGGCAACCCTAAATCAGTTCGGGTGCAAAAGATTAGTTTGAAAGATCACAAAATTAGTGTAATGGTCTCTGTCTTCAAGTAACAACTCGCAAAGTTATACAAAAAAACGAATTATGAAGATCAAGGAGTTTTTGAAACAAGTCAGGGATAAAGTGGTAGAGTAGCACAGATCAGGAGAAGGTTACAATAAAATTTCAAAGTCACTAATTATCCCTTTGAGTACAGTGAAGTCCATCATTAAGAAGTGTAATGTTCTTCATATCACCCAGTCACTACCCAGATCAGGCCACCCTTCTAAACTAAGTAGAAGGGAAATGAAGGAAACTGGTTAGGGATGCCACTGTGAAGCCAACGGTGACTTTGAAAGATTTGCAATGTTTCATGTCTTAGATGGAAGTCAGTGTTCGTACATCGACAGTATCCCGGTCCCTAGAAAAAGCTTGACTGTATGGGCGAGTGGCAAGAAAGAAGCCATTACTAAAAAAAATCATCTTAAATCTCGTATGGAGTTTGCGACAAAGCATGTAAATGATGCTGCAGACATGTGGCATAAGGTTTTGTGGTTAGATGAGACAAAAATTGAGCTTTTTGGTCTAAATTCAAAGCGTTACATCTGATGCAAGTCCAATACAGCACACCAACCAGTCAACACCATCCCAGCTGTGAAGCATGGTGGTAGCAGAGTCATGTTATGGGGATGCTTCTCGTTAGCAGGGACTTGGGAGGCTTGTCAGGAGTGAGGGGAAGATGGATGGTACAAAGTACAGATGAATCCTAGAGGAAAAGCTGCTTGAGTTAGCCAAGAATCTAAAACTGGGTCAAAAATTAACATTTCAGCAGGACAATGATTCGAAGTACAAGGCCAAAGCCACACTGGAGGGATTTCAAAAGAAGAAAGGGAATGTATTGCCCAGTCAAAGTCCTGACCTGAATCCAGTGAAAAAGTTATGGCGAGACTTGAAGATTGCAGTCCATCACAATCCCCAACAATCTTGTTAGAATTGGAGTAATTTGGCCAGGAAGAATGGGCAAAATTTACACCATTCCATTGTGCAAAGCTGGTAGTGACCTATCCAAAAATACTTACAGCAGTAATTGCTACCAAAGATGCTTCCACCAAGTACTGACTTAGGGGCTGAATACTGATGCAATAAGCAAGTTTCAATTTATATATTTTCTTTACAGGTTTTGCTTACATTCATCCTCTTTCACAGATAACAATGTTAAATTTGGTCATTAGTTTTGAATAAAAACAAGTTCATTAAAAAAAATTATTTATATTTCATCAAAATGTGACATTATTGGTAGGGGATGAGTACTTTTGCAAGGCACTTTATATCTTACTTTAGCATACATATAAAAAAAATATCAAGGTACACCATGATGTGTATACCTAATGAAGAATGAATTAGAGGTTACCTAGAATAATTTATATAGACACATGCACTCAATTTATATATTGTTTAAGAAACTTGCAAAAACTGTAATAGTTTCAGTTTTTATGCAATTTGTTTGGTATATTTGATGTTGAGAGAACCAAAATGTTAATTTTAATAGAAATTTTGATATTCCTCAATAAATTATTTGTTAAATTATAAGTGAACTTGTGAGATGTTAGACACCCTTAGGGCTAAAAGAAACAATTAAGGTGGGATGGCCCAGTATTTGAAGTATAACAATATTTTTTTTTTTTAATTTTTAAAAGTTCCCATACAAATATAATTTTGTTAATATGCCTCATGGGAAAATGTTCATGTCCTGCTAATCTGTAAAGACAGCAAAGTATATTACATGTAAGTAGTACCTTCTGTTAGTCATTAATATTGCAACTTTTACTGTCAAAGTTTATTGTTAATTTGCATACAGGGAAATTATAAATTGTGTAAAAAATTAGGGGGGGGATGTGCTTTTAAGGCTCATGATAACATAGAGATATAGGTAACAAATGGTTTTTTGAGTCATTGATGATGACCGTACAACCATCAAAGCATCAAATCTAAAACTCACTCTACTCATTTCAAATCAGTAAACCTATATAAGCAATGTTTAACAGTATGTGTCAATTATTAGGCACACCTCTTCTCAATTTTAACTAAGTTACATAATCTTCCCATATAATATCAAAGTCTGGATCATGACTTAAAAAGAATAAACTTGTTAAATGTAATCTTAACAATTGAGTCTGAGTAGTTTCCAATCCTTTAGTTCCATCACTTGAACAGACATCCATAAACAAATTATTTAAGCTCTGTAAAGTTGTTTATAGCATTCTCATTCCTCCTGAATATTGATAAAGGTCATCCATTCTTGCCCCTTTCACCTTACTAATGCAAAATATGTAGATATTCTGCCAGTAAAGTTGTGCAGAATTTGATATAGGAGCTTATTTTGTGAGCTTGCCACCATTCCTGTATAGTATTACTACTGCATGACCTGGCACGTACATTCAAGCAATGGTCCTACCATGCAGTTGCTTCGCTATCTGCCATCCATCTGGGACCAACTACTCTTAATTTTATGTAGTACTTCATATGAGTCATTCACAAATACTATATTGGTGCCACTGTCTGTGATCAGTTCATTATTTCCAGCATTCCAGACAAGAGCTTGATTTATGGCTTCTAACTTCATCCTTGTGCTGCTTGTGGGAAGGTTGAATGCTCCACCAGCCTTATGCAGAATGTTGTTGCTCTGTGAGATGCTGTATACCCAGCCAGCTCTCTCACTCTCTGTGGCTATGATGACAGATGATTGTCTGCCATGGTCTTTAAATAAGTGCTGAAAGGCTTTTTCTATTTCACTATGCCCAATAACATTTTCTATATAGGCTGATTTCCACAGATCCCAGTGGTGCCAGATGTTATTCCATAAGGTACCTGAGAGTTGGTGGTGACCAGTTATCTTGTTGGTGGCTGTATAGCACCTGTCCATCCATGACTGTCTTTTGAGGTGCCTTTTAGGCAGTACCCAGTTTGGTTGGTTTCTTCTAGGTTATTGTGGAGCTGGAAAATCTCAATTGAAAAAGTAGTGGCTTGATGATGGGAATACATGGCTCTGGGGAAGAAATTTGCATGTAAGTTCTGTTAGTGCTCTGCAATGCTTCTCAGGCTTTTTGTGGTCTCATAGAGCATTTGAGAGGATAGTTAAAGTACATCCCATGCCTAGTCTTAAACGTTGCTCTGTACTTTTTCATTCATATCTAGTTGCATAGCACTCATACTAATTGATCATTGGTAGTGCATAATACAGGATGAAGTGGTAGACTTTGGTAGAGTGTAAGCAGGTGATGTTCTTCAACTGTTTTTCTTGTTTCAACTTTCAGTATGTTGAAACCTTTGATTTCTGTGGATATAATGGTGTTAAATGGCTGGTAAAATTGAGTTGTCTGTCAGGTACTTCAGTTCCTCTTCCAGGAAGATAGCAGTGCCTGCAAAAACATGGTGATGATTTGATTAAAAAAAATTATCAAACATACAAAATAATACAGGAAATGCCTGATTAGTTTCAACAGGCCAAGCATGTCATTCTCAGGACAACAGTAGAATGCAAAAACTAATTTAAATAAAGACTTCCATTTGGATGGAGTTCAAATTCCATTTCATTACTGAGCATGTTTTTATTGATTCTCTTGTGTTGCACTGATGAAGGAATTTAGGTTCTGCAGTGGTTTTTGATCAATCATTGACTTTACTCAAACAGATTGGTGAGAGACCTTATTAGTCACATTCACCTTTAAGAATGTTTATTACTACTCTTGATTTCCATCACCAAGCTGAGTTATCATCAACTTTTCACTTAACCTCTGATTAGAAAATTGAAAGTCAAATAATACAAAAATAATTGAGTTAACTTCATCAAAGAGAAAAAATATATACTATATTAAATCTTAAGTTAATTTGGTAAGAACTTATTCCAATACTATCCTAAACATTGTTTAATGAATTCAAGTATTTTATTTTGCATTTTAGGATTTTACTAGTTTACTAACTATGAATATAGATTGTAGCACTTTGAAAACTTTGGGAGTCAAACTGACAGATATCTAACTGTTTGAGTTTTCCTTAACTTCTGTCTAACAATGAAGAATCAGATTGGCATTTATCCAATCGTCAAGAAAATTGTGAAAGATAATACTTAAAGCTCTCTTCATCTCCTCTATTAACTTCAAGAATTTATGATAAATGGAGAGGAGCTTTAATGTAAATAAAGATTCTAAACTTTTTATTGCACAAAACCTTTTCTTCTTTTTTTTTAATAAAGTTCTACCTGTAAAGAATTCTCATTCATGAAGTTGAGAATCTCTATTAGGTTCATCAGTAAAGAGGTGGACTCCCTTCTATTCCTTTTGTCCACAATGTTCATACTGAAATTTCCTGCTTTTCCTTCAAAATGTTCATATCCTTTATGCTTGCAGCTTACATAAACATAGAAAGCCCTCAAATAAAATTTGATATTTTTTATTAAGAGATTTGTATAATTTCTCTTTGCCTTAGCATTGTTTTTCTCAAATTATTTTTACTGTTTTCTAGTTTATTTCATGTCTGTCATTTATTTTTCATGAGAAAAATTTGTAAAATGGCAGAATATAATGACTGGATTATTTTGGTAAAGTTCATTCTGGATTTTATGATTTTAGAGCATCTGAGTAAAGGTTTTCTGATCAAAATATCATTCAAATAAATATATGCTTCCAAATGGTGTAAATGTTACATTTATCAGTTATTCTGTGCCATTTGTTGCCACAGCACTGTTTGAAACTATTAATTGAATAGCTAAAAATAGTTGAACTGTTAAACTACTTCTTGAGACTAGTTTGAACAAATTTCATAAACTAAGAAAAATATATATAATTTTTTCCAAAGTATATAATGTATAAAAATGTCTACTAAAAATGCTTCAAATGTATGGATTGAACTCATTTGAGTAGATGCCTTGATCCACTGTTTTGTATGAAATTGATATTCAATTGTGGCTATGTAAATTATGAAAAAAAAGTTGGCTAACTTGAAGTTTAATATTATTACAGTATTTTATGAGAAACAAAACACAGTAACTGCCTTATTAATATTAACACCAGTTACTTTTTATGATTATATCTGATGCACTATACACTTGTAACTCATTTTAAGCTAAGAGAGTATTAACTGCTGAAAAATAAGAATAATAAGCTTATAACAGAGCTGTTGAGTTATCTTTTCACTCATGCCTTTGTTCATGTTGTAGTACTTTTCGTCTTTCATTTAACAGAAGGAAAAGGTATAACTGTTTAAGGTGTGGATAACTAATTACCAAGACAGTGGAAAGATTGCATCAATTTTACTGAAATAAGCAGTTGGTAATTACAGTCATTATGTCATAACTTTTTAAATCGTTAACTTTATTGAAAATTATCTGACCATTGTCAGATTTTATAATTATCAGAATGAGGCAAAACATTCATCTGTGTATGCTATTAAAACATGCATATAGGAGGATTTGTTACTTGTTAAGGTTTTACTGTTTGTTCCTGACTAATATGTGTAAGAATCACTGATCAAAAGAAAGTAAAGCATAAATCAAAGCCAAAAAATAACTTGTGCATTAATGTTGCTAATTAGAAGAACGTAATGTTAAAAATTAGTGCATCAGAAAATAGTGTACACTGATTAGAATGCATTGAATTATCACTGTTGATGATATTTTTAGCAGTAATATCAATAATATCTCAAGAGGTTATGACAGTATAGGAGATTTAGGTTAGCCCTAAGTTGATTCATTAACAATGCAAAATTATTTTCCTAATTTTGAAACTTGTGCAAAAACTATAACAAATTATTGTAGATATTATAATCAATTAAAATTTAACGAAACTTGCCTATAGGGAAAAATGTAGTACATCTTCTCAATTATGTTGTAAATAGTTAATTTAACACACATTTTAGTATATATGCTGTAGCTATCATTGTACAATACATCTTGATAGATTGCAGGGTCTTCTAATTTTATTGTCTCTGACATTGTCATATTTGAATTTGACTTCAAAACCACAGAGCAGTTACTGCAGTGTATAATCTATCATCTTTGCAGCTGCAGCTTATATTAATACTGAAGCATCTTTTACATACTATTTTTACAATAGTTAATATTCAGTTTGTTTGTGTGTTCAACATAGACTGAATGGTTTCTTTATACTCAGACCTAAAAATGAAAATTGTTGGTAAATATATCCTGTAACCTTATCTGACTGTTCAGGTTTTGTAATGACGTGTATATTTTTTATTTTTTTGGCTATATATAGTTATTGAATATGTGTATACAATGGATGCACAACTATAGTTATAGCAACATAACAGTATTTTTTTTTAAGTCCCAGTTTTTTGATAAGAGTACTTTGATATAATTGCTTTAACAGGTATTTCCTCTCAATGCTAAGACAAGTGACTTATTTGAAGAACATACTAAGAACTTTAGAATACCATGCTATAAGAAAATAATAATAATATGAGCATTACAATAATTATTTTTCATCTTTAACCAACAGGTGACCATTTGCTGTGCTTATAAATAAATAAAAGCAAGACCGGGGTACTATACAGTCAATCAGTGTGAGCAGCAGTGTCAGACATGGCAGCACCTGGTGTTGTAACGTTAAACCTTAGCCAAGTGCCACTGGTCCTTCAGCATGCTGGTACTTCGTACAATGCCTTAGGACAAACACAAACATTGATAACTCTGCCAGCAACTAATCCAACTTCAAACAGTTCAGATCAGGTGCAGACATTATTGTTGCCCTTAAATAACTCTGATCCAGCACAGGGTACAACACTAATGACTTTTCCTGTACAAGGGCAGTTAGTTTCTGCAGAAAATTTCCAAATCCTGTCTCCGAATAATATGCAAGCCTTAGTGCCAGTAGTAAACTGTAATACTCAGGGTCAGGCTCTGCTTCTACCAAGTAGCAGTACTCTTCTTAGTACCCAAAAGAATGTTCAGACAGCCATATTTACAGAATCACATTCTGAAGAACAGAGTAGACAGATGCAGACTTCAGTTCTTTCATCAACTGATGCTATTTCCAAGCCTTCACAAAAGATAGAAACTGTTGTCCTTCCAGCAGGCACAAGCATTGTTGAAAGCTCTCGTTTGGTAGAAATGAGTAATTTGGCTGAAAGTCAGGGTGAAGTGATTGCATTAGGTTCTCAAGAATCTACAAGTTCAATAATTGAAAGGATGGACAGTACAGCTGATGAATCAGAAATGCAAATTCAGACTGTCTTATTGCCATCATCCAGCTCCTCTGGAACAGTTAGACAAGTACACACCCTTCTTCTCCCAGTAAATGAAGTTCAGAATGGTCAAGAACTTCATGCCAGTGTTCAACCAATGTTAGTTGCTGTCAGTAGAAACTCTGCAAATCAAGCACAGCAAGTTTTTGTGTCTGGAAATATGTCTTCCGCTTTGTCTCTCAGTCAAGTGATTTCAGTTCCTATCACCAATGTAGTTGTAGCTAAAGATCCTCAATCCAACCAGATTGAGCAGTCGTCAGTTACATCAGCAGGTGCTCAAGCCTCAAATTCCAGTAATGTCATGGTTTATCTTCCACAAGAAGGCCTACTTGTTGAAGTACCAAACTTGCAGCAGGATAATAGAATACGACAGTGGTACCAAGATTCGGAACTGGCTACAAGAGGCTTAACAGCTTTGACCCAAGTTGTAACCCCACATTTGAGTCTGGAAAATATATCGCTGAACAGTCCTTCAGAAAGTCCAGTTCCTCAAGTGGTTCACCTTGTACAGCTCGAAATTGAATCAGAGAATACAAATTTATGTGAAGAGAATGATGAAAGTGTTATTCGTGGATGGCTAGAAGACAGCAACATTACATCACAAGCTCTAGCTGCTTTGAATCATCATTTGAGCAATGAGGAAGCAGAGACTAACAAAAAATGTAGCTGTACCAGTTCAGCTTTCCTGTAGCTATCAACTTGGCTTTAATAAGAATTTGTGTATAATGTAATTTGAGTCTGTTAGCATTATATGAATCATAGATTAGTTTAAGGTTCTGTTTAGGATTGTTTATTAACAAGCTGAATTCACCTATTTAGTGATGCCTGTGGTATCAGCATGTTACATGGGACAGTTGCTAGATGTGTTTGTTGTATTAATTACTGAGGTATTTTTGTATATTGTGTGTGTGTGTGTGGAAAGAAGACCGTATATTACTTTGTAAACAATTATGCTAAAAATGAAATAGCTATGTATTGTAATGGAGACAAATCATTGTAAATAAATTTGCTGAAGCAATATACATTGCATGTGCTTTTTTGCAATCTACATATTAAATTAAATATGCATAAGTCCCTTAGAACTAGTTCAGCTGTTCCATTTTAATTTTGGTCTATTCTGGGGCCCAAAATCTAGTTAGCACTATGATTTTTTGTGCCATGGTCATTTAGTAAAAAGGATGGAAATTACCTTCAAAGCCAAATAAATAGTCCATTTACTTGAAGGTCACCACTCCATCTCCAGAAAGTTTCTTCCACAGGGTTTAATAAAACCTCAAGTGAATCAATGGTAACAACAACTATTTAAGAAAATTTATGACAGAAGACCATTTGCTCCATAAATGTCACCCCTCACCCATAAAAATGAGCAACTGAAATGTAAAACCGAGTTAAATTGATCTCTTCACATACAGACATACATACATATATTACTATCCATCAAAATCTTTAAATGATGAAAATTAACAACACAAACATCGCATAATAAGGGAAGAAGCTATTCCACAAACTTTTATCAAGTTTTCATATAAGCTTCCAAAACTTGTATACCTTATCCATACTGTGCATTTTCTGTTTCCAACCTCTTCAGTTTTCAATTTACCTTTATAAGAAATAACCACAGGAAAACAATGAAAACCTTTTTTAACACTTAAATCAATTCTTATATGGTTGAGAATTTGGTATATGAATATACCATGGGTTTCTATCTGATTATGTGCAGGTTTCACGTAAAGTAACATAGTCAAAGAAACAATTGTTACCTTTGTTTGTTTTTGTTCTTGAAGTATATTGCTGCCTGTGAAGAACATTGCTTAATAAGATGTTGTACAAGAATGTTGACAGCAGTGACCTTCAATAGTCATTAAGGTGATATCTATTAGTTATGCTCTTATCTATTTTGTAATGAAAATGACCAATCATGTGGTAGGTCGTGTTGTGCTGGGTAAATGCAAGGTTGCTTGGAACTGGGCATTCAGTTGTTCATTTTCTGCATTACATTTGTCCAGTTTTGTTATTTCGTTTTTAAATTGAATTACTTAAGAGTTGTAGTTGCACTACATAACACAGGCTTGTGATGGTTTTATTGTCTTGATGTTTTTACACTTTCTACTGTAATTCCTTTATGCTGAATCCGAAAATGATATCCGTTTTTCTCCATCACATACAGATTTTTCACAAAACATCATAATGCAATACATAAAAGAAAGACCAAAGAATATTTTGATCTAAGTAAGTTTTTTTCTTCTACTGATTTGTAAAAGAAAAAAAATCCTTGCATGATAGAATAAAATGAATATTTTCAAAATCTGCGTAGCTGAATTATGGAAAATCCATTATTAAAACCAGAACAACTTTTATGAAGTTTAAATTTGCAAGCCTGTGTTATGTATGTCTAACGTACAGTTATGTATATCTACCATGAAGAGGACCTATCTGATAACTTGAATGAATATTCAGTGCAACTGAATATACGACAAGAGAAAACAACTTAAAATATTTAGGCCTTTATTCATAGCTTAATAAATCTGATGTCACTGTAGCTGTTTCAGCATGCTTGAACTTTGAATTTATTCTGTAGTAAAAGAATTAAAACTGCATACAGTTATACAAATGAAACCTCCCCAGTGTTATATAAGACTAAAATAACTTGCATTTAACTAAAAATTTCATAATTTGAAAATTAATCTTCTGGAAAGGATTTGTTAAAAATGGTATAAATTTTTTTCTCAGACAGTAACTTTTCTCTACATACACAATATCTATACTCCTTGCACATCTGCTTAGGAGATTTGCATGCCAGTAGCCCACCTAATTTCATGATTTTTAATGTGAAATGCACTGGTGCATGATGATGTCATCATGCTATAAAAGCCCCTCTATCAATAGGAAGGTAACTGCATTCTTCTCCTCAGCATTGCATTCAACAGATGTGCTCAAAATTTCTTGCCTTAGTTCAAGTAGTTGAGATTTGCATTCATTAATGGAACGTTGGTTTTAGTTTTCTCTGACTGGCGTATAGCCCATCAAAAATGATGGGGCAAGTACTACCACCCCATACTATACCCTAACCTCACATTTCATAGATAGCTGAAATAAATAAACTTTGTGAAATCAAGCTTGACCAACAAAGAAGCAGAAAAGTGCAGTCGAGGCAGTCAAACATCAGTAAATTCCTTTGTGAGCCAATCAAAATTGAGATCATTCATGGCATATTCATAGAACAATTATTGTTAAAAATCAATTAGATTAACAACTTCTAATATATAGAAAAGACAGTGCGTTTTGGTAACACTACGTTCCAACAATAGCTTTTATGTTATACCCCCCTCCCCTGCACTCCTATCACAAAAATTGTAATTTACAAACAGTAATTGACCTATTCTATCTGGATAATTGCATTTTGCTTTTATGAGTCCTATTTGGAGAAATCAAGCATGATGTGACATGACACACACTGGCTTTTATATAGGTTTAATTACTTCTGGAGGCCCTTTAACTTTCAGGGATGTTGAAGCCATTGTTCAGTGTGTTGTGAATTACCAAATGCATAATGGGTATTCTTCTCCCATCCTATCCATCAGCCAACATTCTTTATCCTCAGTCAGGAATGATTTATTGGACTACGAATTGAACCTGGTTTACTTTTGGTAATGCCTTATCATTATAGGAATGACCTTAACCTTTCAATCTCTTTCAGGATTTCATTCCCAGATGGGTTCCTTTCCTTATCTATCACCTTTGTCCTTTAATATTTCTCGTTTTTTACTCCATGATTCCAATTCTCAGGATTTACCTTGTTATTAGGGTTGAAACTGTTTCGTTTATAGCTCATCTCTCTCTCTCGCACCCAAATGCCTTGTCTCCTCTTGTTTGTGTCTTTTTGTCCTTCCTTTTCTTTCTTGATTCATTATCTTTAATATCTGTTTGGTCTGCTTAGGGATTGGTCCCATTGCCTTCTACTTCACTCTCTTGTTGCCCATTTTTGAATATTTGTCTTTTTATTTTTTCATCACCTTTCTCTATTTCCTTTCCTACCTCCTCCTTTTGTCTGAGACACTTCATTATGCTCCATAGGGGTTTTCTATTAGAAGTTTGTTCCTTTCTCTTTGCTAGTTTAGTCTGTTCCACTTCTTCTACACTATCTCCTCTTATTTCATCTCTCAGATGTTGGGACTTGGTGGATCAGGTTCCTCTTTACTGTACACTTTCCTCTTTCTTGTGTACACCTAGACATTTTTGGTGGTGTTCATTTCTCTCTGGAGACCTGGACTGTCACTGTACAACTTCAGTCCTTATATTCCCAGGATTTTCACTTGTATCAAACTTGGTCTTTCCCCCTGTTCCTCATCTGGATCAATTTACCCCTCACCTTCCCATTCCAGATTCCTCTTTTTCTCATCCTTCTCTACCAGGTCACTTCTAACCTTGTTTGTACCTGCCTCTTCTTCTCTTGCTGTTGGTCTCATTTTCTGCCAACAGTCATTTTTCCTTTCTCCACTGTGATCTATCTTCTCACTTCTCTTATCTCCACTTCCCATTTACTTTTTTCTTCTCTCTGACACAACCTATGGTCTCTTTCACCTGGTCTGTGGTTGGTCAGGTTTGATGTGTTGGACACCTTCCTATACATCCCTTTTGACTTATTTCCTATGTTCCATCCATTAGATTTGTATCTTAAAATTCCTTGCTCTTCCCTTCTACATAACATTAGCCCTTGTTGTTTTATCGTGAGGGCCCTCACTCAACATATTCATGGCCTGAGGCTTGTATTCTTTTTCTTGGATGATTGATTTCTGTTGGCCCTTTCTAGGATGGTATCATCTTCTTACTCCTTCCTTCTTTTACAGGAGGCTACTCGGTTGAGGTGGCTTGTCATGAGATCTGAGTCCTTTCTCATGCTCACTCAATATTTGATACTTCTGGACATTTTCTTCATCTCTTGTTTACGCTTTATTCAGCCTTTTCTCTTTGCCTGCAAGCTATGGCATATCTGGTCACCTAGATTTGCACTTCTCATTTTAATCCTCTGAGAGAAGTTCTATTGCTTTTGGGAACTCTGGAGCATTAAACCTTCCGTACCCATTCACATCAGGTTTGTTTTGTTGCCTGTCATTTGCTGGAAGCCAAGAACTTGATGGTGGAATGCCTTTCTCAGTCAGTCTTCATTCTGCCAATAGAGTATTCTCTATACTTGGCAGTTATTTGTTGTGTTTGCTCTCGTTTGAACATGCCTCTCACAGAAAACTTTGCCATCCATTTTATCTCCAGTATTATGTATCGGTTTTTTTCACGACCTCTATATGGAAGTGCTGATGGGATAAACAAAGTGAATCGAGCTGATTGCTATGTCATGACAGTGGAAGTTGGTTTGCTGTCGTTCCATATATGTCTACTATATTGGATTGTTTATATATGTGTGCATTTTGTGGTTGATGACACGAAATGCGATTTGTTTGGATGGATGTTTATAGTAGAATATTTTGTTTTTCTAGCTTTAATTACTTTATTTTCGAGTCATTGCTCGAGTTGGGGTACTTCTAGTTCAATGATGGTGCCAGTAGGTTTCACCTTAACTTACTTTTATAAAAAAAACGTGGATTGAGCAACTGGTGCTAGTTGGTTGCTATAAAATCGATGAAGATATTCAGTAAAATTATGGGCTGTTTGTTATATGATGCGGAAAGAGAACCATATGTAGAATCCATACATTTTTCCAGTACACTTTAAGCAAGTTGTTTATAAGCTATGTATGCAAATATAATATATACAAGAATATAATTTATTCAGTTAAATAAATAATTTGACTTGAAATACTGAAATTTGATACATTTGGTAAAAAACTGCACTGATTAGCTTGAACTGTATTAAGATAAAGACGGGTGTATTCTGTGTATTCCTAATACAGTGAAGGGATATTTATGTGCGGCATTTCCTGTTCACAGCTTTCCTACAGAGCAATCAGTTAGCATGCCAATTGGAGGATTTAGAAAACTGGACTATGGAGTGTGAGTGGATATCTC